ACAAAGGCTGTTTATTTGTATCTCAGTATTAATCCTTATAAAAATAAATTACTTCATATTTAAGACTGTTTCCATACCTTTATAAAACTTTTTGAATTATTAAATTCGGACATTCAATTCCTTAGATATTGCAAGTTTAAAAATGTTAGTATATTGTAATTTAACTATCCAAACAGCTTAGTGACTGACTTAGTAGTTCTTATAAGTTTTCAATCACATTTATACTGGTAATTCCTGTTCAACAGTTAGCAGATTATTAAATACTGAGGAAGTTTAATTTTTTTATCATTTTAAAATGCCCAAAAGATCAAGATCTCATCTTTCTAGAAAAAGTTCCCAAGCGAGGGCGTCAAAAATACGTCGTAATGAAGAATCTTTACCGGAAACTGAAAATCGTTTTATAAGTTGGAGAGAGTCAAGTAGAGTATTTGCAGTGGCTTGAAGAGCAAAATAATATAAATATACAAATTCACACTAGGGAATGGAGCTCTGAGCGTTTCCAACGCCGACGAGATTAGAGAGAAAGACAACAAATGTCAACGACTAGAGTTCGTAATCGAGTTTTAGCTCACAGTAACAGATCAGCTTTTTTTATTATGCTCAACAGTCTTCTGTCCAACTCGAAGCCATGAATAAGATCTGCTCTGGGTTCTGTCTAAAAATGGGTCGATGAACCAAATGGTATGTGCTGTGCTTCTGGAAAAGTTAGTCTCCTCAATATTGAGGAGCCGCCACAGCCAATAAAAAATCTTTTGATAAATCATTCACCATCTGAACATTTTTAACCAACATCCGAAAGTACAATAGCCTCTTTCAAATGACTTTGTTTGACGCGAACTTTTAAAATAGAGGGACAAGTATACAAGTCATCATCATCTTCCTGCCCCTATCCCACCTAGATGGGGTCGGAACAACATGAATCATATTGTACGCGGTTTTGGCCATATTGTTACAACCAGCCGCCTGCCTGACGTTAAACCTTGGAACCTCCTTGGGAAACAAATACCCAGATCAAATTTCAACTTTTTTTTTTTTTATGCGAAAAGTTGTCAAACGAGCAGACGGTTCACCTGATGTTAAGTGAATACCGCCGCCCATGGACATCTGCGAGGGTTACAGATGCGTTGACAACCTTTTGATAATTGGGCTCCGGCTACCTCGCTCACCAGACGAAACGCGAAAGTATTTGTCATACTTCCACTTTACGCTGGTCTTCTGTGAGGTCGTGGTACTTACCCGGACGGGCCTGCCCGTTCGGGCATGCCCATGTTTTATAGAAATTTCAACTGTGTAACTATCACGGTTCATGAGATACAGCCTGTTGACAGAGGGACAAAATGACAGCGGAGTCTAAGTAATAGGGTCCCATTTTACCCTTTGGGTACCGAACCATAAAATGGCCCCATGATATAGTGCAGCACGGTAGACACGGCCAACTTAAAAGGTTAGACCGATAGAGTTACACCGATTGCATGATCCACTACAATATCCCTTAATCGTCGTAATGGGAGAAGGCGGTTATTATTTCACTATTCCTCAGCAAGGTACAGTGCGTAACAAAACTGTGACATGCATGCAATTGTATTTATTTTGGTTGATGGTTAGAGCTACCTGTTTTAAACCATTGCATTATTACTGGGAGTTATTAGGGTTCCGTACCCAAAGGGTAAAACGGCCCCTGTTACTAAGACTCCGCTGTCCGTCTGTATGTCCGTATGTCTGTCCATATGTCAGGTTGTATCTCATGAATCGTGATAGTTAGACAGTTGAAATTTACACAAACGATGTATTTCTGTTGCCGCTATAACAACAAATACTAAAAAAATATAAATAAGTGGGGCTCCCATAAAACATACATGATTTTTTTGTCGTTTTTATAGATAATGTTGACAGTAGTAGTGTTTTTGACAATATGTAACTGTAATACTCCTATACTTCCATACTAAATAAAGATATTAAAACATGATTTTTTTTAATGGTGTTATAGAGTGATAGAGTGTCAAACGAGCTGACGGTTCACCTGATGTTGAGTAATAACCGCCGCCCATGGACATTTGTAACACCTGTAGGGTTGCAAATGAGTTGCCATCTTTAAATAAAGTGGGCCCCGGCTACCTCTCCCACCAGACGAAACGTAGAAGTATAACACTACTATTTTACGCCGGTCTTCTGTGAGGTCGGTACGGAACCCATCGTGTGCGAGTCTGACTCGCACTTGGCCGGTTTTTATTCAATACATTGTCGATATGATGGCAAACGATATCATAAAGATTGAATTACATATGATGTCGTAATCACCAGAGACTGAGGGCTGGTGAAACATTCATCTTAGAAACGCTTTAAATCAAGAAATTCAATCGCTCATCAAATATCGGTCAACAAAAAAACCAAGATTTATGTTCGAAGCTATGGGAGACCAGACTTATTTGTCACTTTTGCGAGTAACCCCGAATGTCCCGTAATTAAAGCGGAACCATTATCTGGTCAGCGGTCTTTCGATCCTCGTGACGTAATTTCAAGGGTATCATTAAAAGATGAAGAAATTGATAAAGTTATTCAGCAAAGACGAAATATTCGGAATATGTTACGTGTATGATAATTTTTAGTTTTAAAAAGTTTGTTAAATACCCGTGCGAAGCCGGGGCGGGCCGCTAGTTCTTTATAATATTATGATTTAGCTGGTACATTTGAGTTTTGAATTCAGTCATTCAATTGTTTCTTCCTCATTATTTTCAGGCTGGCGAAACTAGGAACAAAAATTTTTCTATGTCGTGCAAGTCGTTCGAACCAAATATTTATGGCGAAATGTCCTTTCTATGAAGAACTTTAAGCACTTAATTGTAATACTTTGCAGCCATATGTAAATAAAGCTGGCTAGGAAATAGTAAAATTAACTAATTTGAATTGTATGCTAGTGATGTACTGTAACTGTAATGTCCACATATCAATAACTACGTTAAATAAGAAATTGACATTTAAAAAAATAAGAAATAAAATGTTGCGAGAAAGAGTAGGGGCACAATGTTTTACATATTTGAATGGTGTGCCTAAATGCCATAAATGAGCAAGAATCGGAATATGTGAATTTTGCAGGATTTTGAAACATACCTAATCTACTAATATTGATACGCCATATAATTAATGTCGTGCGCTAACACTAAACTAGAATTTTGATTTTCATGATTCAATTATTTCCAGACTCGTGTACCCCAGAACAACCGCTGTTAGCTGAAGAATCAAGACAAGAAATAAATTTCATTACAGTAATATTTTAATTGAATTAACAGAAACCGTTATTTATCTTATTTCGGGTCCGCATTTAAGTCCAATCTTGTATTAATACCAAATATCCGCTCATCAACATTGGACATAAATACGAATTCGATACTTAGTTAAAATTAAAAAAATATTTAGTGGAAACCTTGGTTTCTACTGTGTATTTTTTATCGATATTGATAAGAAGCTATTGTTAAGCACTATTTGGCTCGTTAATTAGGGATGGATTATACTTGCTAAATCACGTACCAGGTCTTAAAAGTACGCCCTACTTGTCATACCAGGTACAGAAACCAGGTATCAAAATACTTTCAAAGTATTTTTTGTCCGTTGCCTTGGACTTAAGACCGTAGACTTGGAGTTGAATACTTGTTTCGTTGCAAGTTTAAACCTTGTTTCTATATAAATAAGATTCAAAATATTCCATTTTGTTTCACGTATAAGCACAATCTGAACCTTATGTGTATGAAACTATGAATATAAGTTATCTTGAGTGAGAGAGATACGCCGGGCGAGACCGATATACATTGGTTCGCCGATGAGATGACGTGAAAAACGCGCTGTCGTCGTGTACAGTGCTAAGTGAATCCCTCTCTCACCCTCTCTGAGGCGACCTTCCAGGGTAAGGATGTCATTGGTGGACACCGCGTAAAGAATCAGACTAATACAACTGCCCTGTTGCACACCGGGTTCAATTTGTCGTACACCCGGAACAGAGTTTTCAACCGTTACATAGAATATCGGCTGTCTTAAATATGAGGTAAATGGCCAGATGATTTACTTTAGGCAATGCATTTTGCTCATTGAGCTTAAACATTTATCACTGGTGCCACACTCGGTCGAAGGCCTTCTCTATATCGAGAAGAACTCCGACCGACTTGCGTCCAGCGTTTTTGTCGAACACAAGTTCGTGTAGCACCCGGGTAAGTTGAGTTGTCGTAGAATTGCCGCCTCGAAAACCATGTTGTTCAGGTCTCAATTTAATGTGCGGCCTTATTCGTCTTAGCAACAATCGCTCCATTAATTTACCCAAGTGTGATAGAAGGGTGATAGGGCGGTAGCCAGATGGTTAATCATCAGAGAACACAATATACTGCAGCTAGCCAAAAGGCCCTGCTTAACAAGCTTCGGGGCCTAGTCCCCATTGCTTGGGCGTATTACCTCGACCAGCAAGAGGCTGGTCCGTGGTAAGGATAGTCAACGACCACCCCATCTCGTGGTAGTGGGCGTCCGTCAGGAGGACAGGCGTGGAGAGGTGCGATGTTGTTTAGATGTGGGGGTGGCCCGTTATCGGCCCGCTATCCGGACAGGGCCGATAGCGGGCCATCCGGACCACAAAGTCCTCGATTGTCTCTATCTTAAGGTCGCGGGCTAATACATCGTTCCTGACGTAACGCCCGGCCCCTAGGATTGCTCGAAGGGTGAGGTTCAGCTGCGCCTGGAGCCGGCGCCTCTGCGAGGCGGAAACCAGAATAAAATCGTATCTATTTTTAAATCGAAGCATTGCATAGTCATAGTTATTCGATAACATCGTTCGATGTAACTCGTTACTCGACCTTATATCGATATTTTTTAATATCGTTATATATCGAGCGAGCACTCCTTTTTCTTTAGCGTAATGAATATTGTTGTATTATTTATCGAATGTGACATTTAATTAAAGTATTTCAGTTATCAGCAAGAGTACGCTGACGATCTGTTAAAGTTTCTGCTTACGTTGAGTCATGGAGTCGGAACATCAACCAAAGTTGAGCCCTGTTAGAGCTTTCCAAGGTATGAAATTAGTTCATTTCACAGTTTTGTTCTAGAAATATAATATAATTATGTCCATGGCATCACATATGAGTTTAAGAATTAACTATGATGTATGATTACTATGCAAGTAAGTAATTTTATATAATGATTGAATGATGTAGTAGGAAATAAAAAAAATTATCACTAGTCTGTTTTTATTTAGTTCTTCATGGTGGTAGTATGGAGCCAGAAGAGACATATACTAGCCTTTCCGAGTACCATGACTACGAACCCAGCCTGGAGTTTGATGATTCTGAACTTATACAAACAACTGGTTTAGGTAAGACCTAAAACTTTGTTTGGCATAGCCCTACATTTTGTACTTCCAGGCAGCATAATCTTCAGCTTTACACAAATAATTTAAAATTATCAGGTCAAAGGTCACAGAAATATGACCTGTTTTGTCCAAAAACTATGTGGCTTGATTTTGTCCTTCTTCTTTCTCCTATTTCTCTCTCTTATATTTAGAACTGAAATAATTATCTTTGGTCGACACAAATGTTTGTCCCCCCTCCCGAATCCAATATCTTAGGAACAAGTTCACCAAGTAACCACATTGTGTTAATTAAAATAATATATAACAAAGGCAAAAATGCTCAGTGTCATGTGTGATAGTTATGTTATTTTACATTATGGTTACTATTAATGTTAATATCAAACAAAATATAAAATAGAATTTGTGAAAGAAGTTGAATTAATGCTGTCATTTTACTGTATAACTTTAAAAAAGTTTGCGTGGGCAAAAATTTAAATATCTTGTTCATTATTACTTCCAAATTGGACACTTTCTTTTAGTTTCTTTATGTAATATGAAGTGTTATTTAAATTTCATCGTTTATTCAAACAGTTAACTTTTGTTTATATAGATAATGAACATAATGATATTGTAAAATACTATGCTTTAGGATATTTGAAAAACTTGTTAATAAAATCTTCTTCTCTAAATAATTGTTAAATTTTACCTAAAAATAAAATTTAAATTAAACGATTTACCCTATTCCGAGCCTTAATATTGAGAGAGCATACCTTGGCTTCTGGAATAACATGTCAAAACACGCCCCTTTAACAGCTATGTCGTAACTTCTGCCGCTATTTTGTTCCCCACCATTGCCGTATGCGTGCTAGCCTCATTGGAACTCATTGTTTTGATAAAGATGGCAAATTAAACCACAGTATGGTATAACTGGTGAGTAAGGATACATATAAATTTCACAAACTAATACTGCATGTTGACTCATAACAATCTGAAAGATAGCTTATTAAACTAAAATTGTGGTTAGATAAATGATTATAATTATAAGCAGACAGCAATAAAAAGTAGGCTAGGAATAGGGTATGTCGCTTAATTCAAATGTTATTGTTAGGTAATATTTTACAATTAAGCTTTGGTACCCTATTCCAAGCCTTAATATTGAGAAGTGTTTGTTATCCGCTGCTGAAGAGAAACTGCCAATGTGAATTAAATAAAACTATTAAGTTTGACAATTTATACAATGTTTATTTTATACCAACAAAGTTATTTACAAAGAAATTCAAATCAACAAATAATTAAATGGGATTAAAACAGTTTAACTTCTCAGTACCATTATTTCTACTCAACTTAACTTTCTTTTTATAAAATCTATGAAACCAATTTCCTCAAAACAAAATATCGTTAATATTATGATTTTCAAGCCAGCTGTAAGATGTGACAGCTGACCGATCACTTCCTGGAGAGTTCTTTTAAAACAGATTTAATCCAGCCGCCTATAATTGTATGAGAAGCAAAGCATTTGATATTGACAAGTAGTTTGTCTTTCATTGGTAACCAGGATCTGATGATGGAGCTCCACCTTCAGCTGTCCATGGACTTATGCATAGGGTTGCAGATGCGTTTACTCCTTATAATAAAGAGGGCACCGACTACCTCACTCACCAGACAAAATACAGAAGTACTTGCCGATCTGTGAGGTATTTGAGTCTATTCTGTGAGGTTCCTATGACCACTCAGTAAAGAATCGACACAACCCTATTGTGTCTCGGCTGGTTTGATTTGTCATGACGAGTTCTTTGGTGCTAGATGGTATCCAGGGTCTGATGACAGAGCTGCAATGTGGCCGTAGAAACTCAGTAATTGAGGAACACAACTGCGTCGAGTTTTATTTGTCTCAATGGGTGGAACGTTTTTGATGGGTGGTGAAAGGTGGTGGTTTAGTGGACGTGAATATGCGACGCCATCTATGGGAAATAAAGATTGTTTGTTCCGTTTGTTATGAATGTCGATTCTGTCTTTGATTAGATGGATGAGCGCTGAATATCATGAATGAATTAATGAATGACTGAATAAATTTTTGAATAATTTTTTTTGTTATTTATGAACATTTTTTTAAGTGGATGATGTAATTTTAGTTTGTGTACGCATTTTAGCAGTTTTCATTTGGGTTGATTATATATTATTATTAACCCGTGTCCCGATAAGTGGTCTGAGGCTACTTGTCATTGAAGTGGAGCCATCGTGAGGAGTAGAGAAATTGAAAGATATTATAACCAATACAACTACATAAAATCTGGTAACGAAGAAATAAATTTCAAAAATAAGAAAGCCTACCAATAGCTACTTAAAAAAAATACTAAACAATGTATTAAATTAAGTCTTTATTAAGTTATTTTGTACCTTTTAGTTTTTGAAGTCAGGTTTTTTAAACTTAATTTTTTTTGTATGATTACAAACGCATTATTCAGGAACGAACGCTTCGAAAATTTGAATATTACACCGCGCCACCGTCACCTCTCATCTGATGTACATTTCGTGTTATACTTACACTGACACTTCGTGACAAAGTGAAATTTATAATATAACTAGCTGCTGCCCTTGTATGTATTTTTGTATGCTGTATCATAAAAAAATAAAAAAATTATATAAAAAAAATTTACGGGTTGACCACCCTTAACTTTTAGGGGGATGAAAAATAGATGTTTTCTGATTCTCCACCCTGGCCAATATACACACAAAATTTGACGAAAATCGGTCGAGCCGTTTCGGAGGAGTTCAATTACAAACACCGTGACACGAGAATTTTACTTATTAGAAGATAATCTTCGTTGAAGTTTTAAAACTAAAAAAACTTTAATACAAAACTATTGCGCAACACAAAATCATTGCGTTTTATTAACGGGCGTTTACAACAATTAAATAGTAATCTACTACTTACCCACTACTTTTTACTATACAGGATGGCTTTTCTAAGTGTATCCATTTTTTTTATTAAATTCTAGACATAAATAACGTTATATAAAAATGATAAACATTTAAAATCACTCTTAAATGTTATCCAACATAGCTGTTAAAAGGGGGTGCTTTGACGTGTTACTCCGGAAGTCAAGATCAGTCTCTCTCAGTATTAAGGCTTGGAAATCTAGTAAATCGCTTAATTTAAATTTTATTTTTAGGTAAAATTTTACAATTATTTATAGAAGCTATAACTCTGTTGTATCAGTACATGTAGATGCAAGCGGTGCGGCTGACTTACTATGCTTCACTTTCGTTATGCGTGAAGTGTAGTCCTTTTTTCTTAGGCCATGTTTATTTTCTTGTTTGTCTTGTGTTTTTATTATTTGCTATCGTTGTAGTTCGTTTTTTTAGCCAAAAATAAAACGTAATAATAATTTCTTTCAAAATAATTACCAATATAAACTTTTATACATTATCTAAAAAATCAGAAATACACATAAATGCCAGCTCTGAAAGACCTTTAATCCTAGAAAAAAACTTTCTACACAGCGAAACCGTTAGGCCCAATATTTCACCAAATGTACATTTACACTTTTTTTATAAATACATACTAATTTGCAGTGCACGACAACATTTGTATGTTACATATCTTTGATTTCTTTTAAACGAGGTGAAGATAAGATAGTTCCTGATATTCATACATAATAACGTACCTAATGAACAGTAAATATAATTGAATTAATTGCACAGTATTGTTTATTAAGGTGCTTAAATATGTGGAAACTGAATTTTAAGTGTGTGGCATTTTAAAATGTAAAAAAAAAGTAAAGTATCAGCCTGTACATGTCCCACTGCTGGGCAAAGGCCTCCTCTGTACAGAGGGTATCAGGGTATAGTCCACCACGCGGCCCCACTGCGGATTGGCAGACTTTAAATATCTTCTAAATAATTTTTTTATTATTTCGAAAATATGCAGGTTTCCTCACGATGTTTTCCTTAACCGCTGAGCACGTGATAAGTCAGCACTTGAAATTAACAATTTCATAGGTGCCCGCACCGGGGATCGAACTCAAGTTGCTCGAGTATATATATAATTAATGGCGAGCGCCCGGACACTGAGCTCGGCTCTGTTTTCTATAAGAATAATTTTTTTATCCTTAAAATTACAGCGCCTTTACCGCCGGAACTACTTGATATACCAGACGAGCTAATTGATAGATCCACTAGCGACGGCACCATAGAAGAGAATTTTGAAGAAGAACTTGCACATGCACCGGAGGTTTATGCTGAAGTAATATTAATCTTTATTGAGAATCTTCATATATTTTTTTTGAAATAATTTGAATTTGTTACAATTGTATCTTTATATTGATATTAGTAAGCATTAATTTGGGCTGACAATGAGAATTTTATTTACATACATTTTGGAGATTTCTGATGACTCCGCTGCTTGGTATAACCTTTCCTTATATACCTTTCCTACTTGTTATTAGATTGCGACTTCGTCATTGGACTACGATTGCTTTGCGGAGCTTAGCCGTAATGGTGTTGTAGATGTGGTAGGAGACGATGAGATCGGTCGCCGCATAATCGTGGTGTCAGCATGTAGATTGCCCTCCAGTAAGGATTTGCATCCTGATAAATTATTAAGGTACCATATTACTATTTTAAACAGTTACGTTTTCATTACATTTACCATCATAATATTTTTATATATATACAGCGTGTCTTTACAATCTCGACAATAAATGAACACACATATAGGGGATAACTTTTTAAAATTGTATTAAACATTTACATTCTTTAAACAGCAATATTTACAGAGAGTTATTAAATTTTCCAAAACAAAGAATTTTAGAACATCCTTACGTATAAAACTGTAACGTAAAGTTCATTTGTAAAGGTGACAAAGCATATGAATGGGTTGAATGAGTTTAAAAGAGACAAAACATACTGTTAGAAGGAGAGGCTTGTAACGCGACGCTGTGGCGCAAGTTGTATAGGATGTTGCAAATTTTGTTTCTTTTTTACTTAATTAGTTTGTTTGAAAAACATTTTAATTATGGTTTTTGTTTAACATTAATATTTATTTATGATTATTGGCAAGTAGCGTTAGACGTGTGTTCATTTATTGTCGCGATGGTAACGACACGCTGTATATATATACACATATATATATATATATATATATATATATATATATGTACTCTGATAATTTAATTTAAAAATATTTTTTATAGGTATCTGATGTTCACATTGGACAAATATGTGGAGCAAGATTACAGCGTCGTTTACTTCCATTACGGCCTAACAAGTAAAAATAAGCCACCACTTTCTTGGCTATGGAAAGCATATAAGGCTTTTGATAGGAAATATAAAAAAAATCTCAAAGCACTCTACTTAGTCCACCCAACTAACTTCATAAGGATTGTGTGGCAGATGCTGCGGCCTGCAATAAGTGTGAAGTTTGGAAGAAAAATGATGTATGTGAACTCGTTGCAAGAACTGCAGCATTATTTGAATTTGGAAAAGATTTGCATTCCAGAACCAGTTTTGGAGTAAGTTTAAATTTCATTGCCACAATGGAAATAAAAAAAAATTACTATAATATTGAAATTGTAATGAGCACCATCAGTAAATTTTCCAAGCAAGAAAACATTGGTTGGAAAATTAATAAGTACTATAAAAGTGCTATGATTTTTTTTACTTTTTTTAGATACGACAAATTGCTGCAATCTAAGAGTCCAAAGGGAGCACGCAACAATCCTGACCGCTCTGATAGAGAACAGAATGCAATTAAAGCTGCTCAAAAAGACAGCCTATCCCCACCAGCAACACAACAATTTGGAGTGTCATTACATTTTATAAAGGAAAATAATACTAATATGGTTGACTCCATACCACCTGTTGTGAGACAGTGTGTAGAATTTCTCTCTCAACCAGATGGTGAGTAAAATTCATGACAGTTTTTATAAAACACTTCAGAAGCAAGTAAAAAGTGAATATTAATTTGATCACCAAAGAAAAAGAAGCAACAAAAAGAAATTGTTTATAATTTATTTATTACTTCCATAAGCTTATGAAAAAATGAACAAAGTGTTTTTTTACAATGTTACAGCATTAGAGACCGAGGGCATTTTTCGACGTTCAGCCAACATATCTGTAATAAAAGAGTTACAGCGGGCATGCAACCGAGGCGAACCCATATCATTTCGTGATGATCCTCACAACGCTGCCGTCTTGCTGAAAACATTTCTCCGTGATCTTGAGGAGCCCCTTATGACTTTTGATTTATATGATGAGATCTTAAAATTTCAGAGTAAGTGAATTTAATCATACAATAACTAAAGTTTTTTTACAAATCCCTATAATATTCCTAAAAGTCCGATAGTGGTGAACATAAGGTAAAATAATGAATATCATTTATATGTTCTATGATTTTAGCATGGTCTAACCGTGACAAGCCAAGACAAGTTAAAATCTTGATCCTTGAAAGGCTACCACTGGATAACTATAAACTTTTGAAGTATATTATACAGTTCTTATGGAAGGTAAGGATTTTAGTTCCTATTATTAATTAGGAGAAATTACAAAAAAAATGTTTTCAGGGTTTATGTTACAAAACTATTTTTATTATATATTATTACATCACTTTTTATGTGGTCAACCTGTGAATATTAATCAAATAGTCTAAATTACTTGTTTGCTTTATATATTTATCAATAATTTACTTTCCAGGTACAAGATAGAAGTTGTTTAAACAAAATGACAAGCAGTAATTTAGCAGTAGTATTTGGTCCAAACTTATCATGGCCACCCAACGGACAAATGTCATTACAAGCAATTGCACCTATAAATGCTTTTACAGATTTCCTACTAGAGAACCAGGAATCAATTTTCATTATATGAATACTGAAAATATATATACTTATGGTTACAGGAATAACAGAAAATATTAATATATTTTTTAATTAATTTAATCATGGATTGAAATATTTAAAGAGATCTGATTTAGATCTAGATAGCTTATAGAATGAGGAGTGGAAAAGAATAAATAAATGGTTGCCACTCTCTTAGGCTTGTAGTGATTTATAGAAAATTCTAAGTTCTGAACTCATATGCCAAAAAAGATGTTATTAAAATGCCAAATAATGTTATACCTGAATTCAGAAACCCTTATGTGACTAATATGTTATTGGATTACTGTATTGTGTATTTAAAATTATTTTCTGAATGTAATAGATGCATGTATTTTTGAAATTTATAGCTTTCTAGTCAGAGTACATTAACTGTTAGTGAAAAGATTGTTCACTTGGAGATTTAAATACTGATACTGATGTTATAAAAATAGAATAATCGATAGTTTTTAGCCTGTTATATATTGATAATAATACACATTTAATAAAATCACATTCTAATATGAATTATCATATATGTATATGAATTATATTAATTTGGATAAGAATAATAGAGGCCATAGACAATTTTTTAAAATAACATTTGTTTTTATTTTTCAGAATACAGTATAAATTGTTAGACATCAAGTCTGTATCTTTAGCAATGATGGTGTAATTGCTAGGCTGTAGTCTGTTATCTGGGGTCAAATGTTTAAATTCCAGTAACATAAACCAATGTTTTTCTCATTTTTATTTCATTTGAGATATAATCAAACTCAGTGAAGGCAGTTAGTGAATTTATGTTAAAGGTTATGTTAAGATTGTTGTGTACATACAAAATTACAACACATGTTTAATGCAATATGTTTTAAACTACAGTTTGCAAGTCCAATATGTTAAGGGCAATATTTTCTCATCCCAAATAAGAAACATACAGATCAGAAAAAAATCTAGTTAGATATTAGGTTATTAATTGACTTAAGGTTTATTTAAATTTTGTAAAAAAAGAATTGGTAAGATTTGGTCAAGGTCAATGTGGGCATTAAATCTCGCACAACTTTTTTATGGGCATAAATTTGAGCCAGTAAATTTATTGTTGTTATAATTAATGCACCTACACTCAAAAGCTCACGTAAATCTACCAATTTTTATATTCGGTAATAAATAGAAAATCTGTTATAAAAACACAATATTGTAATTTGTTACTTTTCTAATATATCTTTTACTTACTAAGTTAATTTTATTGTTTGTTCAGGAAAAGCTGTATCCATTTAAATTAGGTGGTATGTAAATTTGTTCCAAGATATATAGAAAAAGTTTATTTCAATTATAATTATATACAAATTGAATTTGTACTTGAAACTTATGGTGTGGACATACATATTTATGCTGATTATCCGAAAATAATGCTTTGATCCAATTTTCTTATGTAGAGCTCATCATTATAATTGCCTTCAAGATGTAAGTCATCTGTAACATTTTGCTTGACGTTTTGATTAGTCAGTAATTAGTAATTAGGAAGTATATATTACCTATTACCTACCATACATATATATATTGAACATTGATTACTGATATTGCACAGTCTGATTAATTTTCAACCTCTTAACTTTAACATGTTCAGTGCCACCAATTCACCCTGCAAGTTCACTTTAAAGTCATTCCAGTGCTAGTGGCACAGAACATAATTATGTTAATTAGGTCATAATTTTTATGAATCTAAATACTTCATAAATGATTGTGCTTTAACAAAACTAATTGAAATAAAAAAGAAGTTATTTATACATTTTAATTCATTCCTCGTATTCTAGCAAGAGATTTATGGACATGTAAGAAATTTTGCATTTATTTACTACATTCCTTTTAATAACTCTCGCTCATAGTTTTAACTATTTGAGTTTTGTTGTTTATCAAACTACCAATAAATGAAATATTGAAACCAGCTGTAACAAAAAAAAAGTTTGGAATAATGTTAATGCTAATAAGGGACTTGTGAAAATAAAAAGCTTTAGGTTTGCACTTAGGAATAATTGGTCTTTATTCATTATTTGTAACAACTTTATAAATAAAATCCGAGGTCACATTACTATTTGTTGAAAAGTAGTTTAATTAGTAAAAGTAATAGTATTATAAAATTAATTTGAAAGATTAAACAATTTTATTAACATATCTTTGTAATTACTTGGCCGTCTTTTAATACCGTCTGTAACAATTCTGTAATATTGTTATTAATAATAATCTCTAATTAACATTTCAGTCATATATTTAATATTTGATTTTATATGATGCATGTTTTAAAGAAAATATGTGTAAAAGTTCCACATCAGGTCAGGTTCATTATTGTACCATGTATAGCTAACATTTTTCATCCTTTTTGTTAAGTCTTTGGAAATTAAAATAAAATTATAGTATGTAAAGATATTATTTATCCAAAGTTTTTACCATTCCACAAATATATACCTTTTTTACTATTTTTGAACCAAGTTTATTTTGAAAAATGGTAGCAAATATATTAAGTTTGTAAAATAATAAAAAAAATTGTCATAATTATGTTTTTATGAATCAAACTTTATTTTTAAAGATTTGTGTATGTTTAGAATACTTGATGAACCTATTTGTATAAGTTTTATATATTTCTTGTTCTAAACAATTATAATATATAAATTGTTAAAACATAATGATATTTGATAAACATTAGTTTTGTTTTATTCATGCTACCAATATACCTTTTGCTTAGCAGTTTTTAAGAACAGCAATATTAAATTTCTTAATGAGATTAGTATAAAAAAACCACTTTTTCATATAATAATGAATAACCCATCCATTAAATTTAAGAACCACGTCTATTTTTAATAAAATGTCTGTCTTCACCAGTTTTACCGAATTTTATTTGTATTAAATTCAATAGAATATAACATATACATATTATGTATATGTTTTAAGAAATCTTTAATTTATCAAGATTTCAGTTTCGTTGGTAGGAGAAAGATTTAGAATAACTTAGAAATATTTTTATCAAAATCCTAAAACCAATACATATTATCTCATAATATATTGCTTATTCCATGCTAGGTATCAAGGCATAACATCTAAGTGAAATCTGGGTCAAGTATTGATCTGGAAATTCAAGTACAACTCGTAATCGTATACATACGCATGCTATCATGTATATTCAATTCATGGATGTTGCAAGAATTACATTAAAAAAAATTGTAAAACAAAAACGTAATACACTCGTTTTTAATCTATTATGAACAATTCTTTTCTTTTATTATATTTGACAACTTTATAGTATGCAATATGCATAAATAATTGTGTCATGTCAAAAGTGCCAACGTGAAGTAGGTAATACAAAGTACGAATTTAGTTAATGTGTATTAAAATTGAATATACCTAATTAACTTACTGAAACTCCATTACATGCTATTTTTATAATGTTTTACAGTAAGTTATTTTTATGAATATACAAGAAAAATTATTATTTTTATTAAACTAGAAATAATATGAAGAAATAAAAACAACATTTTAGGTTTTCCAGTTTTAATTTAACCATTTCAAGTTATTAAGTTGTGGCTCAAATATAAGGTTGTGATATTTTCGTGTAAGAAATTTGGTAAAAGAAAGTCTGTGTAAAACTTTGATGCGGTTTAATATAGTGCTTTTATTTATACTACTAAATCACCGTTAAGGCCATAAAATACTCTTTGTAAAATAGTAATCTTAATTAAGTAATATTCCAAGGTACTTGTTTCTGTTGAAGTACTACTTTTTACTTTTATAGAGTCCGAATTTGAGTATAATAACGGTTTAAATGGGCAGATTTAATGAAAAATTATTAAATTTGAAATAAAAATTGAAAGGGCTATTTGTGTTGCGTCTGTTAACTTTTTATTCAATATTAATGAAATGATTAAATAAAAATATAATGGTTTTTAATGGCAACAATTATATTCCTCGTTGAGAAGCGACAACTACCGGAGGTTTTTAGTAACATGTTATTGATATCTCTCACTCAAAGTTCATGTATTTGCTTGATAAATTGTGCTCGGTAATGACTAACTCAATTGTTTTTTAATATGTGCTCTCATTTGTATTGATCTTGGCATAAATGCATTAAAAACTTTGTATCAATGCATTTGTCATGTTTTAAGTTCTTTTCAAAACCAATGACGTTATATGAACTCGATGTGCTTTTTAGCCATTTTACTTGGCTTGCGTTGGTGATTCGTATTTAGTCACGTGACCTAGTGGGTTTCGGATCAATGGCGCCAAATGTCTGTTACAGAAAATGTATGTAAAATATCAATTACTTTTACTTAATATAGTCTTATAATTAGATGTATATTGTATTCCGACTTCATCCAATACATGTATAAAAAGTATATATAGCTATATCGATACTGAAATACAAGGAGAGAAAATGATGCGTAGGACTAACGTCAATCTGGCAACAAAACAGTGCTGCTATCTATGTTGTCAATTTTATTATGTAGTCTAATGGAGACTAGCCGTGCAATAAATATTTACGGTTTTCTTATTAAAGGATGGAATTTCGACATTTTGTTGTGAAATATAGTAAGATTTTTTTTTAATAATACGTTAACAATAGTTTGCGAGACAACCGGCATCTTTAAGATGCGTTTCGACTAGCCGCGATTCTCTGTCTCGGATGGAGCCTTCCATAGGCCCGCCATACATTTTATTCGTGCAATAGTGAAACGTCAAGTGATATTGTTGTTTAATTTGTTGCTTATTCAGAAATGATGTGTGCAATTCGTTATTTCACGTGTTTTTAATCACAAAGTAGCTAATACCATCGAAGCTTTTTGTAATTACCACCTGTTCATTGATCTTTGTTAAAATGGAGATTGACATTTTTGTTCCGGACGTCAAAGCGCAATTTTGTGTGAAATAATTGATCTTAATGCGTTAATGATACAAATATCACATTTTTTCATAGTGTGGTCTTTGTATACAACTTATTTAAGATTAATAAGTTTAACAGTCATGTTGACAAAAATTTTTTTATATCAACATAATAAAAGATTACATATTATACAAAGAGCACAAATGATTAAATTAAAGCAATTGAATCGTATATTTCTCACAGTAGCTGTATTTTTTACAGGTTGCACCAGTTGCTATTGTGTGGATGTAAATTAACGTATCATCATGTAGTGGATGATGTGACATTTTACACCATGTTACTACCGCGTTCTAAGTGTAAAGCTGTACGGGGATCGTGAACATGTAGGTTGTGAAAAAACTGATAAAGATGTCGTTGAGAGGCACCAAGCGGTCGACTGGAGTGCGGAGTGAGGAGCCTGGCACTTCCAAGCGCCGCAGGATTGAGCCAGAGGATGCTCTCTGGCAGCTCCGGCCTGTCAGTGACCTCAAGATGTCATCTATATATAATAGAAGTGCCTCTGAGGCACCTGCTGAACTATTCAGGTTTGTGTGTTATTATTAGTATTTAGGAATTTGATAAATAATATATGTTTATATACTTACATGCTTAAATTGTATTCAATATATTGTACTTCTCACTTTTTTGTAACAATGTTAATAAAATAATTAATTACAAAGAGTTGTTACATGAGCTGGGCATTCTTTATTAATGTTTTGTCTATGTAAGTGATGTAAGCTTTGCGATGTTAAGGTAATTTTGTACTTATGTCCATTTATTCTAAATGGATAAATGGTCATTTCATTGCAATGGTATACTGTCACTAAAATTTGTGTCAAAAATTTAATTTTTTCTATGCTGAGCCAACTGAGTGTTTGAAATATTGCTGTGCTAGCATTTTGCAGTAGATGCTATTATCATTGATCATCATCTTATTATGTATTTATATATTCCTTAATTTATTTATATATGAAATAAGATATATCAGTGCAATGCGACAGTTTATGACTATTTTGCAATGCAATGAATATAGTAGTTTTTCAGTAGTAAATTCTTATTTTAAATTCTTGTTAATAATGTTTATTTTATATTGAAATTATTATCTTAGTATAGTTATAGTCTATATTATGAGTTGTTAAATGAGTTTTGATTTTTGTTATGAGTTTTGTATTATACCCATAAACATACATTTAAAAATATTAAAATATTGTGACTTCAGCAAAAAAGCCTACAAAATATTTTCGAAATAAAATGTATTAAATGAACCATTAAGTTAATTTTATGATAGTTCTGTATTATATGTTATTGTTAATTAAATGTCCTCTTCATTTAGTATGTAATGAACCTAATTTTAAGGCTTAAGTAATTTTTTATATATTTTTTCATTATTTAATTGTATAATAATTTCAAGTAAATAAATGAACCTTAACTTGGGCCACATAATTTTAATATTTACTGATTGTATGTAAAGATATTGATAGATGTATAGTGGCTGTAACATCAGAATTGAAATTTTAAGTTTTTAATTCATAATTAATAACTTATCCAAATCAATCAATCTTTCAATTTTTTCATGTACAAAAATGACTGCGGTGTATGCCCACAAAGTTTGGCAGCAGTCATATTTGGCATTTTTAATAAGCTTTGTAATAACTGATGTATGTCTATGCTGTAATGGTTAAAAACATGTAGTATGATTATTATTACTATTATATATTCTATTTCATGACTCAGTTGCTAAGTTATTGGTTTTAGTGCTGTCAGACGGGAGGCAGGGTTAAAAAACCTACTCAAAATATATAAAAAGTAAAAAGTAAAGTAACAGCCTATACATGTCCCACTGCTGGGCAAAGGCCTCCTCTATACAAAGTGTATCAGGGCATAGTCCACCATGCGGCCCCACTGCGGATTGGCAGACTTCACATATCTTCGAAATATATTTTTTTTGTTATTATTTCGAAAATATGCAGGTTTCCTCACGATGTTTTTCTTCACCGCGGAGCACGTGATAAGTCAGCACTTAAAGTTAAAAACTTCATAGGTGCCGGCACCGGGGTTCAAACTCAGGTTGCTCGAGTATATTGAATTAAAGGCAAGCGCCCGGACACTGAGCTATCACGCTCTCAAAATAGATATATATATATATATATATATATATTCATATATGTATATATGTATATATATTTATATATATATATATTATATATATATATATTTATATGTATATGTATATTTATATATGTATATAAAATAATGAAATATTTTATTTATTGAATGATTATTCTCAGACTCAAAAAATAGATTGGCTACAATCTCATACTCCATGCAACAGTTGGATAACGCAGATTTATGTGTTTGACATTGATAATATGAATGTAAACAATGAATATAATTGGATGTTTTTGCGTCTTATGTTGTATAAATCTTAGTTTTCAATACTATTTCTCCAAATAAATTTAAACTATATGAAATTTTCCACTAATCTTAGCATGAAATATTCTTAAAAAGGGTTTCTTAAATTCTCAAATTTTCCTTCACATACTATAGGTACTATTTTAATAAGATTTTCTAAATTAGAAATGTTAAATTTGTTATGATAAAATATTTTGCTATAATATTTCTCACTTTTCTGGTTGTACCAATGGTGACAATTTGCAATTATTATTGGAAATTGTCAATTGTGCTGTTTATATTTAAATTTTCTAAGTGCAGTGCAATTAGAATTCATTGCTATCACTCTTGTTCTCAGAATCAAGATCCTGAACAGTATACAATTACATTTTTATGGAGATTATCATGCAATTATCATATGCAAGTTATCAAACAATTATTTTGAGGTTTTGTGATTTCAAAACTAAAAATGAAAATTTATGTTTAAAACTTAGCTAGCTTCGATTTTAATTGCTTGGATTGTCAATAAGGTGTTATTTAACTTGTGTAAAATATTAGTGGCTAAAGCGATTTTCATTATCTCATTAGCAAGTTCTCATTTCTATTTTTAACTTAAACTCTGATACTTGTGAAATGTACATATTATGACAAAGTATTTTAACTTTAATTATATTTATATATCATAGTATGTTTGGTCATTAAAAAGGAAATTATAAGATTGTATTTTAAAAAATGTAGAATGTTACCTGTTTAATTTTATTGGACTCTTGTGTTCATTACAAATATTAATACTTGTAACATAATTATGTTTAGTACTTTGCAACGCAGAAGATATTTGAAAAAATAGTAATTGTAACATCATTATTATTAAAATGGAATGTGCATGAGTTAAAACTGGCTAAGCCAACTTTTTTCTCATTTCACAAACATAATTATTTCAGAAAAGATCTCATCAGCGCCATGAAGTTACCTGACTCGGAACCCTTGACGCCAAGCGAGTATTGGATCATCACAGATACCTGGAAACAGGATTGGGAGCGAGGGGTACAGGTGCCTGTAAATCCTGATTCGCTACCTGCACCAAAGGTCAAAGTGATTGCAAATCCTTTGCCACCTAATTTTCAAGAATTTAAACTGTAAGTTACTTTTTAAATGATTTGTACATGATGTTATTTTTTATGTTAAGTTTGTAAATGATAAGAGCAGGTATTAAAGTTTCCGATGGCATTTTTTTCCCAGGCCTAGGGATAAATACATTCATTTGTCCCGTGACACACACTACCAGTCTGACAAGCATCATCTTAGCACAACTCCAGCTCGTGCCGAAGCCGCATGCAGCTATGATCTGGATGCTACTGATACAGCATGGTTGAAATTGCTGAATGCAGAGCGTGCTCGAGCTGGTGCTTCATCAATAACAGAGGACCAGTTAGAAAAAGTAATTGAAGACTTAGAGGTAAGAATGATTTATTTGCATTTATATGATATACCAATCTTTAGCACTTTAAGTAAGAATATGTGCATTAATAAGACAAGAAAAAAGATATATTTATATATATTAAAGAGACAAAACAAAAATTGAAGAATGGTCATGAGCTTTCAGCATCTTGATTTGTCTATCTGAATGGTCACTGTTATTCAATCTCTCAAATAATGTGCATGCAGTCAATCATTGTTCAATCTCATCTTAATTATTGTTAGTGTACATGGATAACGAAGCCTACTCAGTTTGGCTACAGGGTTAATTATCATCCATTTGAAATAAATGCTATAGGATATTTCTTTAAAGTTTCTGACTAAAGACAATAACTAATTAATACATTAAATATTACTATAACTTACATTAAAAGTAAAATGGAACTTGAATAAGTAGTTAGAATTATAAAGTACATAAGTTGAATTCCAAAGTATGTACTTATTTATTTATTTATTTCTGTCAGAAAGTGGAAAGGAAAATTGACATGATAAATATTGTTCAGCTTTTATAAAATGTTAAATATTTGTATACTGTATATTTATAAATAAAAATGATATTACTAATGTTTGTATACCTCCATGTGTGCAAGCTGTTTCATACTAGAAATAACATCAAAATCATCCTTCTGCCCTTATCCTAAATATTAGTTGGATTGGCACATGTGATTCATGATTAGGTTTTCTATGGCTAGCTGCCTGCCTCATGTTCCATTGTACCTTTCCATGGCAACAAACATCTTTAAAACTGATTTAGAATAAGTATCTGTTGGTCGCATAAAAATTATTCCTATGTGAAATTGATAAGTTTTAAATTTTCTATTTACAATGTTATTGTGTGCATGGAAAAGAGAAAACAGTTGAAGGTGGTTTTCACAGTCCCTAGTACCAGACCCGTTGTCATCAAAGTCACAAGTAATGCTTGTGTCATATTTTGAATGTGTATTTGTGACATTTTTTGTTTCAACGTCGTACAAGAAAACACTTGACACTACATGTCATGAACATAATATGCAGTCACAAACATCTTTATTTTGTGGAGTTAAAGAAAATAATTGCCGATCACTACTTCACACAGTTTGTAAATGTAGTTGTTAGGGCTGTGTTCATACTTAAATAGAATTTATCTATATTTTAGTTACATCCTGGTAAATTTTGAGATCCAATACGGTTTTTGGTCTTTATAGTGTTCATATTTGGGTGGTAAAATAATTAATTTATTTAGGAAAATAATAATAATAATATGGCTTTTTCGTTTTAAGCAGAAACTTTCCACATAATATTATACACAAATCATGCCTGATTGAGATAGCATGCAATTGATTTTGACAATTAAATATATCTTTATACTTTTTTACAAAACTCCAATACTCTAATACATACAATATACAATTAAAAAAGTATTCCCAAGAAGAAAATGATTGTTTAAACTTTACTTATAACAATGATTATGATATAAATGTTCTTGTTATTACATGTTTGCTTAAATGAAATGATCAAAGTGTCATCAATATCGATGCTATCCGTAAAGCTTATGGTTACTTCACTAACTGAATAGCAAAGAACATAGTGTAATTCATACTTAAGTAGCACATTTTTTGACAAGGCAAAATATATTTTAATACTTAAGACATTAGGTTATGTTTTGCATGTAGTAGGTAAATAATAAATTTTAGATATTTCTTAAAATTGACATTGTGTTGTAAGGTATACTAAAATAGCACTTGCTTCTGATGTGAATACACTTCTTTTGAGAAATTTTTGTTCGGATATTATTTTTGGAGTTATAAATTACGCAACTGATGACCCCGTGGCGCAGTTGCCAAGGTATTGTCTTCGGCGTCGGGGGTCGTGGGTTCGATTCCCACACGGGAAAACTATTTGTGTGACCCACAAATAGATGTTTCGTATCTGGGTGTTTATCCACGTGAAATTTATATTTGTACAATATCCTTACAACAAAGGATAATGTTATCTTAAATTAAGGGCAATGTTTTATTTTTTTACAAAAAAAAAATAAAAAAATAATTGTAATAGTATTAATGATCAGGAGGTCATGTGTGACATTCTGGTCATTAAGAAGATCACTCTGATCAATTCAATTATTTGAAAAGCCATTTGATAGCTGATTACTTGACTTCTGTGATGATCATTTTAGATACCAGGCGTTTGTTATCATTGTAAAATGATATTCGAAATTGGATTTCTACGCTGTGTAGGATATAAATATAAATGCGCCTAGCATTGCGAAAATATGAAATGCGAAAATACTATACAGATAAGGACATTGAGATTTTCGTCAGTGTGGCAATCAGCTGATTAGTTTAGTGGTTAAATCATCTAGGCGCGAAACGCGAAGACGTGGGTTGATTGCCGTAGTGGCGAGGAACTGCCTTCTTTTTTTATAAAAAAAAATAATATTTCATTTTAAGTTCAGAGATTAGCACTATAAATATTTAAATTTCAAATAGTAATGGCGACATCTCACGTTCGATTAAGTGTTGTAAAATGATATTCGAAATTATTTCTTTGCTGTAAAGATATATAGAACTTTGTTTATATCTAGATTTTAATAAAAAAATGGATACACTTAGAAAAGCCTCCCTGTATAGAGAAGGAGTGCTAGAATGCTAATATTTTTAAATTATGCATTAAAAATACATTAAATCAACATAGGAAACATACACACACTACCACGTATTTGACACACACAGTCATATATACTCTTGTTTATTGTGTATTGTATTTGATAATAGATTAATATTGTTAAATCTTAAATTATGGTCGAGTTTCGACCACTCAGTGTCCACTAGTAAAAATAAACGCGTAATGTAATTTAGCATTGCTTGAAATGTGATAAAAAATGTATATTATAAAAAAGATTTATGTCCGTGTGGCAATCAGTTTAGCTGAGTGGTTAAAGTGTCTGGGTGCGGATTCCGAAGACGCGTTAATCAAGCTCGTAGCAGTGAAACTATTAGTCTTTTTTTCTGCAAATTAAAAGATTTATTTTGATGCTTCTCATTGTTAAAGGTCCGTACGTGGGATAAAATCCAAGCCATAATGAAGTCTGAAGAAGGATTGGGCATTGAGTACGACGAAAACGTAATCTGTGACGTCTGTCGGTCACCAGATTCTGAGGATGGAAATGAGATGGTATTCTGCGACTCATGTAACATTTGTGTCCATCAGGCGTGTTATGGCATTACTGTCATTCCAGATGGTACGTATGGTCATGGTGAGTCTTCAAAGGGCCCCTAACCTCATCACATATTATAATTTTGGTGTTTTTGAGGGTTTACTTATTTGGGTCATATTGTTTTTTAGGTCAATGGCTGTGTCGACCATGCGGGGCAGGTGTAAGGCCTACTTGTGCCTTGTGCCCGAATCTTGGTGGAGCCATGAAATGCACGCCAAATGGCCACAAGTGGGCTCACGTAAGCTGTGTACTGTGGATTCCAGAAGTATCCATTGGTTGTGCTGAAAAGATGGAGCCAATCACGAAGATTTCATCCATACCGCCGTCGCGATGGTCATTAGTGTGCGTGTTGTGTCGCGAGCGTAAAGGAGCCTGTATACAGTGCTCTGTTAAGACTTGCAAGACTGCATATCACGTCACTTGTGCATTTAAACATGGACTAGAAATGCGTGCAATTATTGAGGATGAAAATGCAGATGACGGTGTTAAGTTGCGGTCATACTGTCAAAAGCATAGCGTAAATTCGAAGAAAGAAAAGTGCCCAGGATCTGGTTCAGAGGAGGAGGAAGTAAAACGAAAACGTCGTAAGGATATGACCTCCGAAGAGAAGACACAGGCGCGAGCTGCTCGACTTCAAGAGATTGAACGGGAGTTTGATCGTCATGTAAGTGTCAAAGATATTAGTGCTCATCTATTGGATGTAGATCAAGATGCTATCAATTACATATATAACTATTGGAAGTTGAAAAGACGTGCTGGGCATAATAGGCCTTTGCTACCGCCGAAATCAGATGACAGTGAATTACTGACTCATAGACAAGAACAAGCGGACTTAGAGAAAATGAAAAAGTTCGTGCAACTGCGACAAGATTTGGAAAGAGTGCGAAATTTATGTTATATGGTGAGCCGAAGAGAAAAGTTGTCGCGCTCATTCTTTCGTATGCGAGAACAAACTTTCCATAAACAAGTTGCGGTCTTATCAACAGAGCCAGATATCTCGGGGGCTGATTTAGCTGCTATTATTGAGGCTAACCATGGACCGTCTATTTACGACAGGTTATATTCTCATCCTAATGCTCCTGACCATAAAAATGATTTTGAAGATCTTCTTGCGCGAATTGCGCCTCAGGACTCGAGTGATGAAAAGAAAAAGGACAGAAATGGACTTGTTAAAGGTTCTAAAGCGTCAAATCCATACAAGAAACATTATGTAAATGGGTCACGACGAAGTGGAAGTATGTATAGTGGATTGTCCAGTGAAGACAGTTCGGCCGAAGTTAATCGGTCCTCAAAATATCGAGGTCGGGCTATTGGATCCAGTACAGATGAAGATGTAAAGAAACCCGTGACATCGCCAAAGAAAAAGATAACACCAAAGGGAAAATGTAAGAGATCACCGAAGAAACCTGAGAGGAAGAAAAAGAAAGTGCCTCAGTCTAAAGCAGTCGTGGAAAGTAGTAGTGAAGATGAATCATTTAAAACACGAATGAAAAAAGATCGATCTCGTAGTAAGACATTGCAGCAAATGGAAAAAGAAATGGATGCTGGTAAAAGTGGTTTATCTTGCACTGATAGTGAAGAATTAATGCCTATTAGATCAACCAGGAACAATAAATTTCCTATTGATATTTATTCAGATAGCAGTGAAGAAGTGACACCAGTAAAAGCTGATCTCAAACAAGTAAAATCTGAAAAGGCGAAGGCAGATAAAGTAAAATTAGAAAAAAGCCGCTCGGAAGCTTCGCCAAGTGACTCACAACAGCCGTTACCAAGAACTAAGGCAGCTATGAAAGAATTTATACCGGCTCATCTAGAGAAAAAGTCGGTACCTATTGAAGACAAACCAGCCCCGAAAAAGCGAGGTCGTAAACCTTCTAATAAAAATGCGCCCATAAACACGCATGACTCTGATGATGATGCTAAAAATAAAGAAAACATAAAGTTTGCCAAACAGAAAGATAATCCATCAGACCTTATTGTTCCACAAAGACAGGCTGCAAAGAAAGCTTCAGAAAATATGCGCTCTACTACTGCTGTCAAGAAAGAGGAATCAGGCACTGAGAAGCAAGTTAGTGGAGATGATTCTAGGTCAAAACCAAAGCTTAAGTCAAAAGGAAAAGAAGTTAAAGATATTCCAGCTAAAGTTGGTAGGAAAAAATCTTCCAAAGAGGTAGAGAAAGAGCCTATTGCTTATGTTCCGCAGAGGCAAGCAGCAAAAAAAGCAGCTGCTCACATTAAGAGCGGTCTCGGCAGACCCATTGTTGAACAAACAGATGTTGATAAAAAGAGAGAACATGATAAATCCGATTTATTGAAAATATCTCCAAAGAAGGATGAAGCTAAAAGCTCAAAAAGTCTTCAGGAAGAGAGTTCTTCCTCTTCTTCAAATTCTAGCAGCAGCAGCTATACTTCTTCTTCAAGTTCAGAGGAAGAACCAGAAAAACCGAGTCTCAAACCGTCTGCCAAGGCTCGGGAAATTAAACCGATTACCAGAAAACCATCTATGTTTTCGCCTCCAGGCTCTAGACCAACAGTGGACTTGCCCTTTCTCGACAAGGTGTCAAGACCATTGTCTTCAACTAGTGCCTCGAGTGACTCTGACGACTATAAAGAATCAAGATTTTCTGGCTCTGGAAGTCCATCTCCAAAAAGACCGCGCCGACCTCGAAGGGGAAAAAGTATCTCGACTGATGCGTACCCACGTAAGGCCCTTGACAAGAAGCTTAAAACTTCCGAACGGGGGTCCGAGCGTAGGGTACCATCGCCCACTGCTGAAAGAGAGGAACCGTGCCGATCCAATTGCACGCGTGCTGCCACACGTTCTCGGACCAGAAGCGTTACTGCAAGCGGAAATATGTCTAATAAGTTTGATGCCAGACCGAGAAAACCATCTAAAGACGACACCTGCTATGCCTCTGGATCAAATAAAACTTCCAAAGAGAGCAGCAAGTCCCGTAAATTTTCAACTGCGGAACGGCAAGAGAACGAGGAGATAAAGCAAGAATTGAAACAGGAGCATTGTGTCCCCATTGAATATGTAGGAAGTGGTATCAAAACCGGTACAAAACTCCGCCGCAGTTTTTCGATGGAAGATAAAGAAAAGAAAGTGACGGCTATTTCCGAGAGCTTTGTTACTAAAACAAGTTCCGGGAAAAATATTGATGTTTTGGAAAAGAATATAACTGCAAGACGTGTGAGCGTTAAAGAGCCTGTGATTATTATTGATGACTCTACAGAAAGTACTACAAGGGAAGGCCCAGTTCATGAACGCGATTCTCAAAATTTGGCACTTACTGATCAAACTGCTTTTTCACCTATCAAAAAGATTAATGCAGAGCCAGTTGTAGCAACGGATTCGATTGATAGAAAATTGCCATCTACAATCCCTGAAGATTTTATAAACTCGGATAAACATTGGTTAGCAAAAGCTCCAAGTCCCCATGTTCAACCACCACCAGTTGAAAAACCAGGTGGCCACGAAAAATACATGACTGAAGATAAATCTTTTGATTCTGATTGTACCGATAAAAGCAGTATCAAAATGATCGCTAAGATTCAAGCCAACCTTAATGAAAACACTATGATTAAATCTCCCAAGACTCCCATGGATGCAAGAACGATTATTCTGGATCCCGTAGATGAGAATCCAGCACCAAGGAATATAAGAAAGCGTTCAGCTTTAGACCCAGAAAAGAAATTTATTATACAAGATGCAAGTCATGTCACTGGAGTTGAAATTTCTAAGAGTGCTAAAATACCGTCGGCTGCAAATTCCTTTGCAAACAGGTCTATGTTTTCACCCCAAACTAAAGACAATGAGCTATTTGAGTTTGATATATTAGATGATGAAAGTTTTAGTCATGAAGATATAATGAAGCCATTTACTAACTACCCTGAGTTCCTATTTAAAGAAGATTCCAAAGAACAAGGCGTTCAAGAAACACTTAACCTTGTGGACAGACTTCGAATGCAGCTGAGCTCTAAAAAAGCGCCAATTGAAAATGTAGCTCCGAATGAGACAATTACAATTAACGATGACAGTGAATGTACTGAGGATGATAAAACAAGTACCATGAATATTGATAAAGGTCAGGGTACATTGTTGTTAAAGATGCCTACTCCTGCGGAAATACATAATATAAGATCTCCTGGCCGTGAAATACGAAATATAAATCATAAGCCGCTTACTGGTGAGCAGGATTCATCTCAGGAAATTATAGTTGATGATAAAGACGAAGAATCTGTTCATTTAGTTAAGGAAAAATGGTCCGATTTGTCAGTGCCTGTGCCGCACAACGATCATCGGCTAGAGACCCCTATAGAACGAAAGTATAATCATTCGATTTCATACAACGAAGACACCAAAGAAGCAGTCCCAATAATACATTTAGATGGTCAATCTATTTCCGAAATAGGAGATACGATCTCTTTATCAAAACAAAGTGATGATTCTCAGTCGTTGTCTGTCGTGGACCATTCCTTACATAGCAACGACCACGAGTTGACACAAGATAATCAAAACTATGATAACAACAATTCGTTGATACATTCTGATTGCGCTACAATATCCTCGCCTTATATTGCATTACACGATTCAAAATGGAGAGAGAGCAAGATAACAACCAGGCGTTCCTCTGATTCAAGTACAAATTCTGAAGCTTCTGTGTGCTCTCGAAAGACTATTTTAAAATCTCATTTAAATAGTCGTGACACTCATCCTGGACCCATGATGTCTGACATAGACCAGTATGCACCAATTCCCGCGTACTCTTGTCCTATTGAACCACCAATGCCTCTTAACCAATATAGCAGTTATCCTCCTGACGCTTCTCCATTTTTGAACACTATGGCAACTCTACCATTATTCGCAGCTAGTGCTTGTGCATCTTCACAGTTAACCCTACCGTCGCCAGGGCCTGCTTTATATGCTCCTGGGTTGTCGTACGCTGCGGCACCACTGATACAACCTTTACCGAAACCCCCATTTCCTTTATGTGCGGCATTTACTACATCATCACAAAATATAGCTTTAACAACTGCTATGATTGCTCCACCAACTCCAAAACCAATGGACTCACCAAGGGATGATATTGATGTGACTAGTAGTGATAAGTTTTCGATTCATGTTTCTAGTCCAACTATTAGCGTCGATTCTTACAACGAAGCCAGTAATACAAGACCTGTAACTAAGATGTCAAATGATAGCAATGAGACTATGTCATCTTTACATCCCCAGGAATCAAAGTCACCACCGAAAAGTGCTAAGAGTACACCTAAATTTACGTCAAAATCTCCCGGTAAAAGCCCGGGTATATCTCCTAAACAAAGTGATAATGCTAAGGGAACAAAGCGCGCAAGTAATAGGAACAATAGAAACCAACGAGGACGAGGACGATCTAAAAGTCGTGGACAGACTGCTGGTTTCCCTTCTGCAGAATTTGTGGGAAATTCTATTCAAAGTAAATTAGTTGGTACAGTTTACGATTTTGATGAAGAATTGGCAAATGATGGTGTTGATTTAAAAGCTTTAAGGGAGAAACAAAAGTCGATTGATGTAAGAGATGACAGAAAGTCTGAACATTCATATAAAGACGCATCGCAGTCACCAAAGATGTCTAGCCCTCAGAATGATAAAAAGTCAGCAACGGAAGTTAAAGAAACTAAAGCGCCAACACCAGAACCTAGGGATTCTCCTGAATCTCCCTCGAGCAAAAGTAATTCTGAATCCACTCCTGGATTCTCTCAAGTGCAACCTGTCTTACCTGGACCTGTTGATATGCGCACCTATCAACCATTCGATGCACCAGTGCCACCGCCTGTTGATGCTTTCCACAGCCATTTACTCGCTTTTGCCAGTGGCACAGCTGATCAGACTTTAGGAGATATAGATGAGGAAGTAGAGAAACAACTACACAGTGCTCTAATGGCAAGTAAGCCCAAAGTTGGTGCTTCCGTAGAGGCCTCCACTTCTAGAGTGAATGAACCAATCAAAGAAACACCTCAATTGCCAAAAGTTTCCTTGAGCGATTCCAGAAACCAATTGAAAGTGAAGATAAAGGGGCCATTCTTGGATGCGAATTACTCGGCTAGCTCAGCACCTGTGGCTCCTCAGCCGCCACCACCTGTTCAACATGATTCCAATGCCAATGTTAACACAAATACGACTAGCGGATCGGCGTCCTCTATGATGACAGGATCTACTAATTTGAGAAGAATGCGCAAAAAAGAACTATTGCGGCAATATTGGACACAAGACATGAATATGGACGACCCAGCCAATATTACAACCCCAGGGGTCCCACCCCCACCAGCTGCACCTCAGCCACTGCCCCGTGCCGTTATTACTATTCCAAAGGCCGTTGCTTCTATGACTAGCATACCCACACGAGAAGATTACAAAATCATTGATACACCGGTGGAAAAGAAGAAGCGTAAAGTTTCTGGTGTAAACCGTGAGTTACGACACTTGGAAGTAACCATGAACGATGATATTGAGCCTTCAGATGATCTGAAATTGTCGAGCTTTACAAGCAATACTAACCAAATGCATAAGAGACGCGGACGTGTCTCTACAAAGCAGCGCAGATCTTCTGCCACGTCTCCAGTAGCTCCAAAATTAAAAATTAAAATTAAATCTAACGTAGTGCAGCAAGTGAGCGAAGAGCCGTCCGGCTCACAATTTCGCCCACCGAAGAAGCGTCTAACAAGCATACCGAAGCCCAGTTTGGAAGATTTGCGCCGCGAAAGCATGAAGTATAGGCGTATGGTGATGGCAGATTTTGAGGAGAATGAAAAAGCTAAGAAGTTCAAGCCGAGTAAAAGTGAGAAACGTAAGAAAAAGAAAGACAAGAAATTGGAGAAAGAGAAACTGCAAGTGGTAAACAGTGAAAGTGAAAGTGCAACAAAGTTGATTATAAAGATAAAACGCAAGAAGAACGAGGCGGGGAAAACGAAACTAGGCGGTGGAGGTCCAAGTGGCGCAGTGGCGGCCGGGCCGTCGGAACCGCCAGTAGACCCCTTCGAGTACGATCCGACCGCTCCTGATCCCCTGGCCATTGATCCTTCGTTCAGCTCCGATGCAACGTCAGGAATGCGTAAGATACGGACAGCTAAGGTGACACCGATCAGATTAAAATTGGCGCGGAGCGGGCAAGGCTCGGGATACGTGATGAAGGAAGCCGGCGAGCAGGACTCCAGCACGGCGAAGCCCACGCCAGAGGCAGCTGCCGCAAGCGCCTCTGCCCCGCCTGTTACGGTTAATAAACACTGTGATGTGAGGTGATATAAATCGCGCACTCGCAAATGAACTGCAGACTTCGTTACATAAAAGTGAGCATAAAATCTCTTTGTGTAGTTAAAATGAACTATTAATTGAATGTCTGTATATTATACTTGTAGCATTACCTTAATTTTAAATGTGTAGTCTATTTCATTATTTATTTATTTGTATAAATGGAAAGCTCAATGATTAACTTAAAGTTATTCTATCTAGGATATATTATATATTGTGCATTGAGTGATGCACAAGTAAATCTTATTTAGTATAAAAACATATATAGTTTTGTTAATGTTAATGTTTTACTTTGTGCCTCATTTTAAGGAATCTCATTATGATCGTCATGGAAGATTATTTATGTAAGCTAGTTCATTTACTTATGAAACCTGAACTATCACAACACACATCACCTCCGTTGATGTGGCATTTCACCAAAAGTGTCATTTTTCGTATGTTGCAATAAAATGAACGCATTTGTATTCATATTTTATTTGAAGTGTATATAACTTTGGCTGGAGTTACATTGTCTATTTACTTTGACAGATTTTTTTGATTATAATATCGAACTATCAACGACGGTATTAGAAGCTGGACTTCTGTATGATATGTCACATAGCTTGCTGCAGTGTTTGACATGATGAAAAATTACGTAAGCAGAACTTTGCTTCACGTTTGTTGTTTTGTGTTGTTTATTTTCCTATTTCATTTATTTTTAATTTATATCAATTGTATTTTTTGCAATAATATGTTTTTTTATAATAATTTCACCGCGATTTATTTGTATTTAATTTTTGGACTGATTATAATTGAAATCCCTATTACGTTTTATTTATAATCTAGCAATTTTATCTCCATACAATTTTAGTAAATCACCTTTTTTACACATTGAATCTAATATCATTTAAGGCAATTTTCTTGCGGCCATAGTTATAATGAAATGGATTTTTTCATTTTATATATTTATTCATAAGTTTTTGGCTCGGTTCTGACCAAAGATACTAAATTTAGTTATCAAAATAGGGCATTATTTTAAATTTAATCCTCGTTAAAAAATCAGTTTTCAGATTATTACACCCGCTCATTTAAAACAACATAAATTAATGCTTCAATTGCAAACTATAATTTCTTGCCCATTTGAATTTTGCTATTGGTTTCCAGACAAAAGCCGATTTAATTTCGTATATGTTAAATCCTCTGTACCATTTTTTTCTACACAATATATTTGCTGGAATATTTGAAAATGCACATCAACAAGTGGAAAGTTATCGTTTAAGGTACTTTTATCATTATAAATATTCCGTGTTTGAAGATTTTAAATGTCATTGTACAGTTTTACTAATTTCTCTCCGTTGGCATATCATCTTGACAAGTATAAATATTTTAATTGTAAGTTTATCGTGTCGATGTAGGTTATTATGTATTGGACTGTTTCGAATGTTTATTTGATGGAAACAATATGTGTACTATACATGTTTTGTGCAATATTTGGCAATACTCATCGCGTAGTCAAGGTTGAATTAACCTAGATGGGGTATGTTAGGTTTAGGTATCTTTTAAGGTATAATTCGGCATCATCTCACAATTTGATTTGTCTTATTGTACGTATATAGAGCAACTATTTATAAGATGCGGCTTCTTAATCGGATGTATGAATTTTTTTGCATGTTTCTACTGTCAAAATTGAGTACGGAGGTGCGATAAGCAATATTACGTAATAATTACCTTCCTGGTTTTCCTGCAATAATTAACAAGTAATAAAGTTTAGTTCCTTTTAAAATAGGTTTCGCATAGAACTTAAAACGCTCATGACTAAATATATTCAAATAAGAAATTTTAAAATCCGCTTAAAAAAATAATAACAATTAAATTTAAAACTCCACTGGGTGACCTCAATCGTTGGCATTTTAGGTAATTCAATAAATTTTTCTAAATTTTAACAGATTTCAATCAATTTATTTACCGTTGTGTTTGGTTTAGTTTTATCAATTGCAGATGTAACGCATTGCTATTTTGTAATATGGCGGTAATACGGCCTAATTTTTTCAGAGAAGAGGTCTTAAAGTGCTTTTTACGAGTCGTCTTAAGATAACTATTTATATACATCAGGACTCCGATATATTTATAGACATTTCAATGTTTGTTCTACGTAATATTGATTATAAACCATTATTGTTCGCTTACATGTTTTTCATAATGTATAAATTAAATGTAAGAACGAGGTAATTCTTCTCAAGCTATCGTTTAGCTTCTGAAAATTTCTAATTGTGTAATAGGAATAAATTAGCATCTCTTTTAAATTAATCATATCAAATTGAGCATGCATTTATAAATTCGCCGTATTATTTGGTGATACGACTCTTGTCTTATAATATAAGAGAACGGGTGTTTATTGAAATAGCAATTGTTGTAATCTAGTAGCAATGACCGTTCGGTCTATTACAGTTATGGCGATGCTATATTCTAGTTTTAATGTTAAAAATTCAACATTTAATTAATATTTAATAATTGTACATATATTAAATATGGTAAGCAGTAAGCGGGATGAGATTTTTCTTTATTCGATCTGAATAAATTGAAACGATTGAAATCGCGCGAATATGAAACTTTACAAGTATCAATGGGATAGTAAAAATACAAAACTATATACCCCGTAAGTCTTACTGCTTCGTCATTAAGATTCGATCACAGTAGATTTTCATAAAAATTATTTAGGGCATGCCACATTTATTAAGAGCAATGAATATTCGTTACCATAAATTTATAAAAAAAATTACATTGTACATAAACTGACTTTACTGTGAGTGATGTCGTAAGTTATACTCTCGTGTATATACAATAAATTATTTTGTAAATGAAAGCAATTTATTTTGGTATTAATGTTGACCTTCGCACTGTCGTCTTGAGCTAGCCGGTCAATTGGTAAACACTATGTAATCATTTCCGTTAGTTCATTGGCACCCGAAGACTATAACTTCGTTTCCTGCTTCATTTTCAAATTGTTCGCCTGTCAAACTATTTCGCCGTTCAGATTTCGAGTGACCTTCTCAGTTTTGTAAATAAAGAGAAATATTTATTAATGGCACATTAATATCTAGTAGTGATATCTATGTTTAAATATTGCAACAGTTGCGAATATTAGCAGTTTTAACGGTAGATCCCCGTCTGAAGTAAATATCCTCAATGTTCATGTTAATATTAACAGTAAATCCCAAACTAGAGCTTAATCATAAAGTGTAGTAGTGTTTTAAAACTATGTGTAAACTAATTTAAGTAAAAAAAAAAACAAATATTATTATTCATAAAAAATACAAAATTTCCGTCAATATCAGATTTTAAGCGCATTTTGTAAATATTTCCTTCACATAATGGAAGTCACTCGGATTCTGTCACATCTGGTAGGCCTTCTAAAATAATTCATAACGATTTCGTTTAAATCAATTTATATAATTAACTATTTTTAACTTATTGTAATTTATGGATTGTACACATAAGATAGTCCACTACTTATATATACATATGCATACACCGTTGGACATAAATGTGCGTCTTAGTATGAGCAATTATGGTAATGTAACATTAAATATAGGTATACCTTTAATGTCAACATATACCACTGTCTTGTAATTTAATCGTAATTATTCAAACTGGTAAATGTGGTTATAATATTAAAAAAAATAATTGGCGTAAGCAAATAAGCTCGTATAGTAGTCGAAGTAGCAAAGTTGTAACATTTTTTGTTGAAACAATTTTTATAAAATCATTGAGCCTTCTGCTTTTTTCTTTTTACATTGTTTATAATTACCATTCCTTATAACAGTGTATGTGACAAATGGAATTGTTCTAATTTAGTTCCTATAAAATTTATGTTAATGAAAAAAGTAACCTCGTTTTCTTAAATTACTGATGATAAAAACTGATGGAAAACATTTACCTGATTGATCAAACAAAGCAAACAAGGCTTAGCAAAATCGTTAGAATTTCTTTTTGACTACTATAATAATATCCAAAAATGTTCATTGATGCTTTACTAATATTAGTATGAATAGTCACAGAAAAATTGTTTCTTTTTCAATACTTCGCAAACTGTCTTCCCGGAAATTTGAGCCATGAAAGTTTTTTTTAGTAAAGGGAAACACTGATGGTTTTAAAGTTCTCCCTTTTGCACAAAGAAGTAGTAAAAGTAAATGCCATCACATTTCAATAATTTTGTAGATTGCTACTGTGATTTGTTTTAATTTATATATTACATTTAAGAATGAATGATTTTGTATTTGATATTCCTAATGTTGGAAATAAAATGTAAGCTTTTTGTTATTATCTATTAAAAAATTTCTGGAATAGTAAATATTTTTTTATATTATTGACGTATGTGCTTTTTATATTTTAATAATCAATTGTAAATATTTTTGGTACTATATTAGAGTCAGTGTTATTTAGATTTCGTGCTTTGAGCGCATGATTTTACATTATTTGAATTGATGTGTTGATTATTGTGCTCGTTCTATGGAGTTGTAAGTAATTTTATGTAATAAGGTCATGTTGATAGGAATATCCACTATATTGTTGATATGTTAACGCGTTTAATGTATTTGACCGGCTTTGTAGAGCATACAAGGCAACGTCTCGGAGAGTGCTGAATGCGATAGGCTGCACTTTTCACTCTTCATTCTGTCTTTTATGAGCGTTTTATACGTAACGCTCTGAATAGTCATTCGTAATATATTATATTCCTTTAATATTTAGCGATAAGTAGATTCAGGCTTCGATAATTGATTGTTCACGTAGTTCAGTGTCCATTTGTGTTATATTAATGGGAGTACATCTTTAATTACGCTAAATATGCATGTTATAATAGAACTTTACGTGCCACAGTCGCAGAAAGTTATCAGTGTTAGATGTAATGCCATGGCTGCGCGATTCGTAACAGTCATTAGATTAATGGAAAGTCTTCATTTACTATTTATTATATCGTAGACGTGTAACGTAGAAATAAGAAAATAACA